GTGTTTTCTTTTGACCTGAGTATGCTATTATAATACTAACGAGTGTTAGTTTTCCCATGTTGTATATTTACCCTTGTTTTTTATTATTATTTTTTATCTTAGATCCATATACATGTTTCATTTGCCTTTAACTTTCTACATGCACACCTGGATTTTCCCACTGTGAGATACAGTACAATACAGGACATTTCTATTCTATTCTATTCTATTCTATTCTATTCTATTCTATTCTAACTCCTGTACAGTTTGTAGTTTCTGCAGAGGGTCAGTTTAAAGGACAGGAGTCGTGCTTTAGTGTGAGAAGTTTTTGTTGCACATGTTTTGTTTTCTGCAGAGCTACAGGCCAGTTTCTATGTGGTAAAATCTCACCTCAGTGGAAAGTAACATGGGGGCGGGGTTACCAGATTCACTGTTGTTTACAAATATGTTGAATGGCAAAGAATGATTGTGATACAGGGTGATGATTGCTAATTTTCTTTTATTACATTAACAATAACTTCATAAACACAAAGGCTGATATTTAATCTAAAATGACTCGGTGAGTTTAGTCTGCTTTTGATTTCATTATCTTGCAGACCTGCTGATTTCAGTTGCACTTGACCACAGTGGGCTGCCTCTTCCTGTGAAATGAGCTGATGTTTATCTCCCCTGCCCATCCCCCAGACCTCCAGGAGCCCAGATGACTTTCAGTCTCAGTTTCCTCATTGCATGTGTCTAATGTGAGCCCTTTTTATACAACATGAAATAATTTCTTGTGCATAACAAAAATAAAAATCATTCATTGACGTAGGGATGTATAAAGTAACTGGATACAGTTTAACTAGATTTTTTAAATACTAGCTAATAGACATTTAACAGTTTTGTCTCTAATTCAGATACAAATAAACTGCATTGAATTAACTTTCTCACCACAAACATTTTCAGCCAAATATACAAGATATTTATGTGCTGTTGGTATACTGAACATGAGTCTCCACTGCGATGTGTTTTGTCGCCTTCATGATTTGTTCAGTCTTTGGAAAGAACCTCAGCAGAGAAGAGTGAAGGTCAGAAGAGCCCAGAGTCTGGAAACAGAGGAATCAGTATTATGGAAGAGAAACATCTGAACTCGTGGCAGCCATTTTGTTTACCGTGTCACATTCAACTCAGTTTTATTCAGTTTATTTATATGGCGCCATTTCACAACAAATGTCATTTTGAGACACTTTACAAAAGAAAAAAAAAACATTTTAATTCAATCACACATATATTCCAATTGATCCTCAAATACATTAAGCTCAGTTAATAATTAAAAGTAGTTTAAAAACTTTCTATTATGATACACAGCATCCCATCAGGCACATGTAGGCCTGCCTGACCTGGGCTGCACTGCTGTGGTGCGCCCCACGCTGACTAACTGCATCTAGTGGATAACACCTAAAATAACATAATTATTTACATCAGAGTTTCTTCAAGCTGAAAGAAAACATAATCTAACATGTTTAACTTATTAATATCTTCTGCTTATCCAAAGTTGGGTCATAGTAATGCATGAATAGTAATGTAACCTTCAATTACGACCCCATTCTTTTGAACGGCTCTTTGCCCTGAGTGATTGTATTTACTTAATCAGCGAATAAATACAGTGCAAGAAAGGGTTCATATTTTATGGAAACATATAACCAGCTCCTATTGGGAAATACCAAATATTTAGACATGGTTTAAGTCCACTAAAGGTCAGAGTTCAGAGGCTAACACAGAAGCTCAAAGCCTTATTGGGATATTGAACAAAGGCTGAAAGCTTCTAAATATATATGTCTAACTAGTTACAGTTGTTGAGAGTCACTTCTGGGGTGTGTGGTTATTACAAAGTAATGTAGATCAACATACTTGGTAGCTGATCTGATTTGGGGATATTTCTTCCCCAAATCAGGCCTCAAGATATTGAGGCCTGATTTTTTTCAGAGTGTCAACATTCTTCATATCCACGTGTCTTCTTCATATTTTCTTATATCCTTGTGTTTGACATCAGAATACACCCTTTCTGAATCGGTACATAACTCAAACACCTCCAGCAGAGACTTGTTATTGGCTTTGTCATGGCCAGTTCAATATGCATCCACATAAAAAGAAAAATCCTATCTGTACTCAGTTATCTACTCATAAATACTGAATGAACTCAGAGTGATAAGTGCTTCTTAGCACTTGTCAAAAATTAGTAGGGAAGCACTAATCTAGGTGTAGCTGAATCCATCTGATAGGTTTCAACAGTCAAGTCAATGACTGTGATCATGAAGCAAGCAGTCAGAAAGTCACAATCACAAAAACAAAGGATAATATATCTCTAGTTTCAGTATGTTGTAGTTATTTTTATAAACACGATACTGCTCCAGTTAGTTTTCTACCATCAGTTATCTTTTCTGTTCATGTCAGTTTTCGCGATTTTGTTCATTTTAGTTGACTATAGTAACTGTGGTTCATACAGTTTAAATTACTCAGTTTACCTTGTTTCTTTCTTTTTGCAGCTTTAAGCTTGAAGCTAAAAAGACAAATGGAAAAGTTTGGTTAGTTAATTACTGATTTGATATTTATTATTCTGTTCTAAATTATTTTAAAATAAGTTGTACAGTGATATAATCAAACTGTACCTCTCTCCAGTCTCCTGTTTTTAACAGCCAGAACAACGACTGTTACAGAGAGAAGAGCAGTCAGAGCACCTAAAATCCCAGGCATCAGGTCCATCAGTTGGTCAGCAGCTTCTGTAAATATTTACATATTAAAGTGGGATTTTTTACTGCAGTAAAATCCAGGGAACTCTTCTAAGACAAATAACTTACTTTTATTATCAGAATCCTCCTCATCTTTGGAGTCTTCATGAGCTGAAAGTGCAGATGATATTTTTTGGTCAGTTATTTCTTTTTTTTAAATTTTGCAATAACTTTTAATCACAACGGCGACGATCTTAGAATATTAAGGTACACAGAGTCAGACTTACCTTTAATGATTAACTCTGTTGCACTGCCAACAACTGTATGTTTCTTTCTATAAAATCCACAGAAATACAATCCAGAGTCCATCAGGTCCACTTGTTTGATGTGAAGAAAGACAGTCGTCACGTTGGAGCTCATGTTAAATTTTTCACTTTGGAATCCATGGCAGTACGAAGCTTCACCTTCAGGACCGTACATGGAGGAGATGCAGCTGGGTTTGGTTCCATTAATCACTCTGAACCAGTCTGTCTGGGTTGGAGATGAAGAAAGGTTGGAGCAGAACAGAGTGATGTCCTCACCAGGATGAACCTCCACAGTTAGAGACTCACAGATCCAACCTGAAACAAGCAGATTCAACTGTAAGACGACAAAATAAATCAGTAAGAATGGAATCCTGATTCACATGTTAAAGTTAAAGAACACACAGTTAAAATGGAGTCCACGATGAACATGATTTAATATTTTACTTACTTTGGCTGCAGAGAAGTATAGCTGTTATCTGCATGAAGTTCTCCATTCTGCATACAACAATGTCTCAGTTTGGCCGCTTCTTATGTAGGGGGATTTATTAGAAAGGGGAGTGGTGAACAGTTCACTTCACGTCAAAAGGCTTTTGTTTTTCTTGACCAAACTTTAGCTTTAGAAATATGCAATTCAACTTGAAAAAGTTTAATTATTTAAATACCATCAGTAAACTAACCAGTTTGGTTATTATCAACTACTTTATTCTGAACCTAGTGTGGCACTCTGTCGTTCTAAAGTAGTCTTGTGAAGAGGATAAACATAGTTACAGTGACTTCTTTGAACAATCCTTCACCACCATCATCTCCAGAGGTTCCACATCAGTCTCTGGAACAGAACCAGCCTTCTTTATCACCCAGTTCAGGTTTTTTAAATCCCTGGCTCTGATGCTGCTGCCACAGCAGGTGATGGCAGAAGAGATTACAGTCCCCACAACAGACTCAATGAAGATATGCAGCATCTTGCTGCAAACACTGAAGTTTATCTACATCAATGTTTCTCAATTCCAGTCCTCATGGACCACTGAGCTGCATATGTTACATGTGTCTCTCTTCCAGAACAGCTGATTCAAATGACTGCATGACCTCTTCTGCATTGCATTAAGTGCTGCAGAAGGTTGTTAATCACCCATCCATTCAAGTCAGGTGTGAGGCAGAAGGGAAGCACCTGTAACATGTAAAGTTAAAAGGTAAAGTTGTTTAAAGGGTTAAGTTATAGAATAATATTACCAACTTTGAATGTCTCACAGAGGGCTGTTCATTCTCAGAGCTAGGTAGACAGCTCAGAGAACTACGAACCGGCTGTCTGCAGTTGGTTTGCAGACTAAACCGACTGCAAGAGACTAAACCGTCTCTTGCAGACTAAACCGACAAGCCAGGAAAGGTGAGCATCGATCAGTGAAGCAGCCAGGAGGCCCACTGTAATTCTGGAGAAGTTGCAGAGACTAATCACTCTGATTGAATAATCTGTCTGCAGGATAACTGCTAGATGTATAATGACCTGTTTGAAATAATGTCCACAAGCCATGTAGGAAATACAGCAAACATGTGAAAGACCAAGGTCTGGTTAGAAGAGACCAAAATGTAACTTTTTGGGTTACATGCATAACACTACAGTTCTTGGTGCAGTACTCTTAAAAACTTAAAAAATTTCAAATGTGGAGTGCTAAATTGCTTTCATAAAAGTGGTGCATACTGCTCTACATAAATGAGCTGCTGGTTATAATCATAGACATTTTGGTAGAACAAAGCAGCCGTAAAATCAAAATCAGATTTAAAGTCGTGAAGCTGGAGGTTCTGGTGGAGGATCAAAATAAACGCCTAGGAGAACCTCAGCAGAGACTTCAGAGGGATGAGTTATAGTCATGCTTTAATAGGTTCACTTTATTTCACTTTTTTTTTTGAGCAAAAGGTGTATTTTTTATGCTTGACAGAGACGTTGGTGTGGTATTCTCCAAAAAGGAGCTCACACACAGCGATTATATAAATGGCAGTACAGATGAATGTTCTCTGCAAGATCACTTTCCAAAAGCATTGGCTTTTAAGCTAAGTTCATAGTTGATGCATTAAACTGGCGTGAGGATGCTTGCACCAATCACAATGTCTCCAACCGTGTACATTAGCCTTGCGGCACCTGGTCATGCACCTCCGCTCTGTAGCCCAGTGCACAGTGGGCACGCCACCTCTCACTCAAACTGGACGATTTGGAATGTGTTCCTGTAGAGCAGATGCGTCATTTTCAAAGAATACTGCACCAAGAACTAGACCAAGTATAAAAGCCACACGACTTGCCTTGCAAGTACATGCACAACAAGATCCTCTAAAAGTGCAGCTATAACTCAGCCTCTAGCATTGCCAGAAGAAATGCATTTTGGGAGACCCTAAAGGCACCCAGACTGTGATGATAGTGGTCAGGAGCTGCTGCAGTAACAAAGACATCAGACAGATGCACAATGGGCCATTATGCAGAAGGTCAGAGCTGTATCCAGTAATGTGCGTGCCCTCCGCCATGACACTCGGGTCATCATAAAAACTGGTGGTCAGTGCTGTGTCTGGGCTGACAATGACTGTCAGTGCTCAGGCAGCAGTCAGAAGAGCATGTAGTGCTATTGGTCATTAACCTGTTCCACTGGCACATGAAGAGGGAGGAGAGTGCACAGGTGGACACCACAGCAACCTGCGAAAATGCAAAGCCACAAATAAGAATATTGTTTTGAGGAAAGGAAAAATGAGACACAGTCAGTGCTACTGGTGTTGAGATTCATCTTCTGGCAGGACAAAACACACAGCCAGAGCTACAACAGAATGATCAGATCTAAGTTCTGTTATCTAGAATATGTAAAAAAGCTACACATGTTAATTACATCCAGTATGACTCAGCTGGATTATTTTGTCCAGAAAAATTAGCATAAATATCTGTTGCCTCTTCTGCAGCGGGACTCCTATTATTTTCACAGGAACGTCTGGACTCTTCATCACCTACTGCAGTTTATGTAGACATCTTTATATAAGTACCAAATTACTTATCAAGTACATAGGAAACAGGAAACATTATTTAACTGGTAGCTACGCGGCCCTGCTGTCTGGAACACACAGAGACAACGAGGATCCGCCTGTGTTGCTTTTATAACAGAGTGTAACCTTCCGCTTCAAAATGTAGTGCCAACTAAATTACAATAGTAGCAAACACCTGAGACCAGAGAAGGTGGTAGAGACAAAACCCAAAAGGCTTACAGCTGTGATGACAAAAAAGGGTCTGGAAACTAATCTACTCTTCCAAAATATTATTACTCAAACAGAAGCACAAGAAAAAAATCCACTGAATATTTGCAATCAAAACCAGTAAATATCTAAGAACGAACTATATAACAAATAAGACATTAACAAAAGCACAAAAAAACAAAAAACAAAAACAGATCAAACTCCAGTGAACTACGGCTGTAAAGCTGTGATGGGTAAAGTCAGATCAGATGAAGTGGTGTTAGTGTTCTCTGATGTGTGTGGTCTGTGGTGTCAACTTCAGCTTCCTGCTCACACATCTCACTCCTCCACCAGAGGACCATTTGACTCGTTTGCATGAGAAAGAGACACCTTGGTGGGGTGTTGTTTGTGTGGGGGCTCGAGGCTCAACCCGCCACGGTGGCTTCCTAGCAACCTGCGTCTGTGTCAGGCGTTTGGCTGCTGGAGGCGACCGGCCCATTCGCCTGCTGTCGCCTTCAAGAGTCGAGGCTGCAGTTCCCACCCTCTGATGCTGAGTGTTTTCACTTTTACTAGTCTGCACTTACAGGTGACAGATACACACATGCATACTCTACACACACTCTGCCAACCACCAACCTACCCCTACATTTACACATACATACTCATGCATGTATGTCTTTCTATCTTCACAAGAACCTTGCATTGACTTCCATTCATTTTTCAATCGTTTTTTCAGCCTTAGTCCTAAACCCAACCCAGAACCCAAAACAACAACTCTTCCTGAGCTCTGGGTCTCACACACACAAAAGTTTCTCAGTCCTTTCAAATGTCTTTTTATTGATTTTTAGCAATACATTGATAGAAACAGTACAAGACCCAAATTTTAACAGATTTTAGTCCACAAACATGAGACACACCCAGCAAAACGAAGCTTAGGTAAAATAAATCAAATTTGCACAGCAGAAAAAAAAGATACAACAAATGAATAATGCCATTTAATATAATGCTATGAAAATAACATCAATTAGCCACATATATGTATGAAAGAAAAATTAATTTATTAATCTAAATAAAGGTGGGCTTCTTTGGGATAATAGTAGAAGATTTCTCCAAAGAAGGGATGCCAAACTTTATGAAATCTATTTTCTAAATGGTTGTCGGTCAGGTCAATAACTCCATCAATTTAGCCTGTCTACTTCAATGTCAGACACAGTCAAATCTGTGATGTCATAATGTAAGAGATGCTTGTAAAAATATATTTTGACATTGTACAGCTTCAATGTAGAGAACAGTTTTTTTTCAGTACAGACTGTGTTATGCACCACAAGGGATATGTTTTTATATTATTGTTATGTTGTAATATACATTAGTTACATTTATTTGACATGTCTACATAATGTTACTTGAGCTATTCAGGCCAGAAGTTGCCAAACTGGTGCAGACAGTATTGCAGTGCCCCCTAGAGGTACCACATGTTGCAGCATGGTGACTGTTGAAGTATCAAGGCAATGCAGCGATCTCTAGATTATCTCTGACACTCTCGGTCTGTTTGTGGCTTTTAACTGAAAGTATTTGAAGACTCAGCAGCATTCTTTCAGTACACAGCCCCACTCTGTTTGACTAGTGGAATCACAGATGTGGGTTTGGAAATAAATACAATCCAACACGCAGATTCCATGGTAAGGTTAGTTCAAGTCAGGTTTAGTTTATTCTAAGTCTGGTTAATAAGTTTAAGGAAACTGGTTAGATTGCATCAAGTCATTCATTCATTCACTCCTAGACAAGCATGCAGCAACAGTGTAGCTTACATTGTTGTTGCCTTTTAAGCAATCTCATGCAATGAGAATGCTTATTGTGGGAGATTGCTGCAACAGGATCGGTTAGAGGTCTAAGCTTTTAGTGGACCACTCCAGAATGTCCACCTTGTTGTCTTCAACTTGCTGGAAAATAAATGTTGTCTAAAGTAGTTCTCCTGAAGATAGAAACAAATCGTCATTTTTCCTTTGACCTTTGCAATCCTTCCAGGGCAGCTGCTGAGAAGCATCCCCACAGCATGATGCTGCTACCACCATGCTTCACAGTGGGGATGGTGTGTTTGTGGTGATGGGCAGTGTTGGTAGAGTCTTGTCTGATGAGACCAAAAAGCTCCATCTTGGTTTCATCGGACCAAAGAACTTTCTTCTTCTTCACCATGAAGTCTTCCTGGTTCTGTTTGACAAACTGTTGATTTGAGTCATGCCCATTCCCTCCTTCAGTGTTGTCATGGTAACTCTGTGTCCTCTCTCACTAGTCTCCTTCTTGCACAGTCACTCGGTTGTGAGGACGACCTGATTTAAGCAGATTTACAGGTGGGCCATATTCCTCCCATTTCTTGATGATGGATTTAACTGGAACCCAGAGGATGTTCAGGGCCTTAGAGATAATTTCATATCCATCTCCTGACTGATACTTTTTCATCACATTTTCTCCTAGACTTAAACTTAGACTTTCTTTCTTGTCATTGCA